GTCTCCAGACTGATCTGCGAGTGAAACCTTGAAAGCTCGCGAGATCAGGATGGTCTCACGAGGCTAGTAGCTTATTGCAAGAAATACAAACCACGCTCAAAGAACAAAATAAAGGTATGGTTCTGTGTTGGGCTGAAACGGGACACAATTTGTTTAAAATGCAGGAAATTCCATCTAAGAAATACAAAATTTTCTGGGGGAGGAACCCGTGACCCCCCGCAACAATGAAGTTTCTCTTGGACCCTTATTTCCATTTCTGAAAGGTGGCAACCCTTTCTCCCATCTGCTGTATGAAAAAGTCTTGAAGTCATTATTTTGGTGTCACTGACCTTTCATCTGCCTGCAGGTTTGAAGGAGCCATTTTCTCCAGCTGCTGGCTGGACAAAATGCTTTTATCTAGCGAGGGAACTTTTATAGTTTGTGCCCTGCTTGATATGTGTTGACCTACGATGCTGCATGTAAATGTGTTAATATTTATCATGATAATGGGACAGATTTCATTTGGCTTTCACACACGGGCCACAGCTCAGCGTATGTTAAGCAACGGACAGGAATGGATGTGATTATTCTGGAGTTTATGGTTTGACCGAAGAGCCATGAAGCATCCATTAAGGAAGTGAGCGCTGATTTGTAGAAGCTTCTTCCTTATTATCGCCTCATTATTTTCTCCCTGTGCTTTTAGGTTGATTTGTCCTCCTTTATTCACATCTAATCTTTAATGAGACCTTCTGTTGCATCTAGTTATTTTCAGATGATGTCCTTATAAGACTGTTAGAATGTTTTTCATGTGGAGGTTTAAGATGTGTGATCAAGGACTTCTTTCTTTCAGTAAATTAACTTTTTTCCAGTTTTTTATTACTATTATACACTGGAAAATATCAAAATCTCCTTCTTTCTTAAAATAAGTGCATTTATTTTTGGAGCAAGACAATTTACACTTACAATAAGACAACACAATTACATCTTTTCAAGTACATATTATCTAATTATGTTATTTTAAGAGTAAAAATACTCATTCCATTGGCAAACTATCTTATTTACCTACTCAAATGAAGGGTAAATACACTTAATTTACAAATTTTTTACTTATTTCTATATGGTTTTTCAAGTGTACCTTTTTTTTCTTGATGTTCTGTTTTTTTATCCTTTATATTTTTGGTCTCTCGCCCATTAATTTCTTCTTCTTTAGCTCCAATTCCCATGTCAGCGCGTGGATTGATGTGTAGAGGGACCTCATCCCCTCTTTTTTTTGTCCTCACTCCCCCTCCTGCTCTACGTTTGTTGACACACCTTCAGAGGTGATATAAAAAGACAGGAAAGACACCATTGTGTTGTGCTGTCATCTCCTCCTCCTCCTCTCCTGTCACCTGCTCATCCGTCCTTTCTTCTCTGGTTCCTCTGAAGTGAAGTTTCTTCTCTTGTCAGGCTGCCGTTGAAACGACACAAAAGTCAAAACAACAGCGAGCACCAAGGCAACCCCCCCAAACCGAACAAATCCCGCTTCAGAACCAGGCGACGTGAAATAATAAGAATAAAGATGGAGAGCAGAATCGTAGACGTGACAAGCGTGTGTGTTTTCACTGGGCAAATGTGAGCACCTGCTGTGCCGCTTCCTGTGTTTTCCTCTCAAAGTTTTGTTGTTTTAGTTTGGAGGAGCTGCATCTTTTTCTTCTCCTTCATCCTCTGCTGTTTGGTTCTTATCTTATGCAGCAGAATGGAGATGAAATATGGGAAAACATAAGAGAAGTTAAAGAGGAATGTCACCTTGTCCCCTTTGGCTAAGAGCTGCTCCCCTTTTAGTCCGCTGTCTGAGTGAGTGGAGCTGGTTAAGCTAACGAGCTTCGTTGGTGCGACACCTAGACAACAATAGCATCAACACACAGCACAGAACAGCAACCGAAAAATAAAAACTTTTCTCTCAAGTACTGCAATGATAAATATTATGCAAAACTGTTGAACCCAACATGTAAACCCACCGACAGATGAAAAAAAAATTAATAAAAGACAAAGCAGTATGAAGAAATCTTTGTTGTAATTGAATTTTTGAAAATTTCATTTTTTGTTTTAAGAAACTTAGCGTTTACCTTTTTCCATCTTTGAGTACCAGTTTTGCAGACGACAATGTAATATTAAGGTTTAATAATTAGCTCCTATTTTTGTCTTGTCCTTTCCAGGTGATGAATGGTACCTGTGCAGGTTAACCCTGAGCCTGCCCAGTCAGACGGACCTGCAGTGGGGGATGTTTCCTACACCTTACCTGGGTGCCGTGGGTCCTGATGCCAACCCTGGATCTGTAGTCTACCGGCTGTCAACGAGACAACGAGATGGCACGCTGGGACAGCCTCAGTTCCTCCTACTAGATGGTGCATCCCTTTGATTTTTCTGCACAAGATGATCCAACTAAACATACAGAACACATCTATCTATCCATCCATCCATCCATCCATCCATCCATCCATCCATCCATCCATCCATCCATCCATGTAATTTTTATGCCAGAGATACAGAAACTGTTTGTTTGCTCTAAAAGATCTAAAAAAATATGTGAATCACTCCTATGAAAAGAAGCAAAACACTTTATAAAAATTTTGGTGAAAGCTACTGAAAAACCAGCCTGACTCCGCCAGATGGATTAGCTGATTGGCCTATGTTGGTGATAGACGGGCCAAATAAACCAATCAGAACAACGAAGCATATGACGTACTAACAG